GGTCGCTGACCCATGGCTTCGGGCAACACCTTGGAAAATATCATGGAAGGAAGGCAGGGCAGCTACTCCACAGTAGTTCAACTCAGTCTTACCTGCAGACAAATGTCCAGTTTATTCAGAAGAGCACGGGTTTTTATGGAGATGGAGACAGATTTTGTCTTGAGGTTTTAGAGAGAGGCACAGAGAGCAATAGGTGAAATATTTCAATGGTTACAACACACAACAGATATAGTGGTGTTCATTTTTAGACACTTCTCCCCCGCGCCCCCCCCCCTCCCCCAGCATCCTGGACTGGATTCAACTTAGAAATTCTGGATGCTATTATGTTGGTGCACCACTTAAGTGAACCATCTCCAATTCTAACACAAAACTGGTAATTAAATATTTGAGAGAGAATTGAATGCCCATTATTCTCAAGGAAAATGGCCTCACTCATCCTAAAGTTCACTAACTATAACTCACATTCCCTTTGAAAATAAGTGCTCTATACCTCTTTGCAAGCAGAGGTACTATTTTGAATTCCAGCTTTTGGAACACAATTTTCCATGGGTAGTTTATGTCTCTGCACACCTTGTGAGCAGAGGTACAGAGCTTTGGTTCTATACCTTTTACATTTGTATAATGAACAACCTTGAAAGCCAGCATCACTTCATCGACAAGTGTACTTGTCCTCAGCTGTGACACAAATACAATCCAGATACAGCAGCCACCTGAGTCACTCCACCTCACCTGCATGGAACTTGGGGATAAGAGGAGGTATGGGGACCATGAAACCCCCCCAGCCTGGGCAGCTGCCTCTAACCTGGGAGCCTCCTGTCTTCCATCATCATATACAAGACTGTGGGAGATTAACTTGTCAGTTTGCACAGAATTAAAATCGCAGACCCCCTCAGTGCTTAATAGCAATCACCCCCAAATTTTAAAATGTGCTTCTTGACTTCCCACCTCAAGAAAGCAAGCTAAATACAGTTGTAGCACAATGAATAAATACGGACAATCTTCTGGAGCTTGTTGCACAGGAACTTCATGTTTCCAGCCAGAAAATCTAGAAGTAAATTAATGTGTTAAAAGTCACATTTAATAAAGACAAAGGTTAGATAGTTACCAAACAAGATTAAAGGAGTAGAAATCCTTGAAGATGGTGAGAGAAATAAGTCATAGTGTGTCTTTAATCTTGGTTTAGTCTCACAAACTAAACCATTCTGGGCTAGAGAAAATCATAATCTTACCGCCCTCTACTGGAATCAGGCTGGAAGCTAAGGCAAATAGTCTGACGTAGCTCTTTATGGACTCTCCTAATATTTGTGTGGTATCCATTGTTGTCATTAACTATCATCCAGTCTGGCAGGTTAATGCTGAACCAATCTAGTACTGAAAAAATGCTAGACAGTCCTCTCCACACTCACCTTTGATTTGTTGCTACCACTAATTGCAAAAACCACCAAGAGCTTGTCTTTGCTGGAAGTCCCAGCAAGGTGTACTAGACTTCAGCACTCATCTGTCCATTCTAGGGACCACAGCTCTTAAAACTCATCTCCAAGCCTGTTTCTTCTGAAAAAAAAAAAAAAAAAAAACACCTTTTTGTCCCTAGGGACTAACGTTAAGGCTCCACGCAATAAATACCAATCCTTCAGCTCCAGCAGAATATATACTTTGTGAACTCAAAAGGTGTGTGCCGAAGGTCCAAACATTTATCTTAGCTTATGTCATCCTGTCAAAACGTCGAAGTAGTGTATCAAAATGTTTTGATCATTCACTGAAAGCAGAAAAAATATATATATAATGCACCAATAAATGTATTGTTTATTTATAAATTATAGAAGTGTACAATTGTACATTATGTACATTATAAAACACACAAAAATAGAAATTTAAAAGATGAGATTAAATACAAATAACCATTTAACATTATCCCAATGGACTGCCCATCTGCAAACCTCTGGGGCATTTGCAGCCTTATCTGGAACCACAGCCTGAAACACACCAATGGACAGATTTGGATTTTTTGCTGTGGTTACAGAAAAATGTAGAACACAACTTTCATTTAATGATTTTTGCAAAATCATTCTAGCATCAAGTTAAACATATGAGATGCCTAATATTAACTTCTTGAGACATCTGAACTAGTCACTACACAGTTGGTAAAATGTCCTATTTTATTTCACTGGTAGTTATTTAAGACACTCAGTAGGGGATTTCATGGAGTTCAGAAAGTTAGAAAAATGCTTTCAAGAACATTTTGAATGAATGAGAATTTGCCTATTTGTTTTTAAAGCCAAGAAATCAAATAACTAGCACCTAACAAAATTCTTGTTCCTACATGAAGACTTCAAATAAAACAAAAAGGCACTCCAAAGGCAAATGGATTGCCATACCATCTGCCTGCCCTAATACCAGTGAGTCAACAACACCGAATTTTGATTTTATGCTTAGTAGCCCATCACAACATAGAAACTCAGTAAATAAACAATGAACAACCCCTCAAAAAAAAAAAAAAACAAAACATAAATTGCTTGAATTACATTTGAGGTAAGAATTGCTGCTAAAGAACACTCCAGTATCTGCTTTAACGGGCTGAAGCAAATAACTAGATCAATGTATGGACAAGGGCCATGTGCTCCAAGGGCCTCTTTGCTTCCTCAACACCTCCCCCACAGCAGCTCCTTGGCCTCCACCCGCTTTGCTTCCAGCCAGGGCCTGAGCTTACCACCGAACAGAGGAGCAGCACAGCACAGCACAATACAGCCAGCCAGCCTCAGCCTTCTCCACTTTCAGTGCAAGCTGGGGTGAGTGTTGTCCTACAACTTTAACTTTAAAAAAATATTCACTAGTTTTTCCTATGATTTAAAAGATATGAATAGCTGATTTTGAGACTGAATTAAGACACATGGAAAAAAATGGGACCCCAATCAGACTTTACTAAATTTACAAATGCCAGACTTTCGCTTGTGTTCTCCCCATGGATGGTAGCTTGTGTAGGCACTTTACCAATTTAAAAGAGAGAAAATACTACACCATCTAAGTAACTTGATTTCACCACTAGCCAGTGTCACTTTGTATACACACTGGCTGTTTCCATGTATAGCTCTGTTCATCTATCTGCTGACAAAATGTCACAGTACACTAAGGGTTTCTATTAAATGCAACCCAAGGTAAATTATGTCACTTAAATTTAAAAATAAAAGGTATGAGAATTTCAGTAATTTTACAGTGAGAACCATAAACTTAAGCCTCACTACCACAATATGTAAAATTTACTCAAAGGACTCATTACAGGAAAATTTGGTTGGTAAGCATGTATATACCACAAAGATCAAAGAACTAGTGATTATTTTTTGTCGAGATGCTGCCACTTTTCTACACACTGCAGTGAACTCTGGGGTTATGATTTGACCTCCAGTCTTAAAAACAGAAAGTTGGTGGTTTGAATTTGTGAATTTCTTTAAGAAAAAATAGCCATTAGAAAAGAAATATGTTCTTGAAAATTCTTTCAAGAAAACCAGTACTCTCGCATGCTAAACATTATTCAGCACACTTGTTTTCTATCATTCCATACTTATCCCTAAAAGACAGTTTTCTCCCTCCCACCACACTTAAGTGAAAAGCTGCTGCTTTATCTGACACTTTCAAGTCAAAACTTAACTTGAAAACCAAACCCACCTTCAACTTCTAAGGTAAAACGAACCCTTAGAGGCACTCCTCACCACAAATGAAAGGTCTCACTAACCCCAGATGACAAAAATTCCAAACAGTGTTTTGACCATGTAATATAAAACATTAATCCTAAACTTAACACCAAAAAGTCATTCATCTTTCCGGCAATTTTCAAATTTTATTCCCAATTCTTTCTGTAACAAAATACCAAATGCAATTCTGCCTGTAAAGTGGCAATCTTTTAAAAAAACAAGGTCACAAATAGTACTCCCACTATACTTTGTCCTATGGATATTCTGTTAGGATTACTACCATCAGTCCTTTACTATCAGAGACTTCGACTTCCTCCATTTATAATAAAAATATTCACCTAACCTCAATGCTTCATCATGTACACATTTCCACTTCACTACCCCTCCTAGATGCAATGTGTGAGAAGTTCCTCCCACTCATGGATTTTTCTATTGTATACAGAAATAGCAGTCACATCTGAGGTAATGTACAAATTTAATTTTTAGTTGAAAATAAAAAGGATGAAACTATTGTATCCTTTTTCTGGGAGTAAAAAGACACACACCATTACAAACATAAAATGAGTCAAACTTCTATTTTATTGACAGGAGTCCAAAATGGATACAAAAAATGCCTCCATTGCATGTTTTACATATATATATATATATGTATGTATGTATTTATATATATATATATATATGTATATATACACACACACACACACATATGTATTTTTCCCTTAAAAGGCTTCTGAGTCAGGTAGATTAAAAGCTAAGAATGTATTTCAGCTTTTATATAGTGAACCTTTTTAAAAAGGCTTAATAAGGTAAGTCACCAACATCAGAGAATATATGGCCCCAAAATCATTTTTAGCTCTGTAGCTTACAAAAGAATCAAATCCAGCACTGATCTGCTAAAATAGAGGCTTAAAAATGTTTTAAGCCATTAAAAGCCATTTTTATAATCTGATAACTCTGGGCAATTAAAAAAAGGAAAATCCCCAAATGTAGCCTTCTATATTATATGGAATGTGAGAGAATGCCAATTTAGGGTCAGGACAGGTTAGAAAGAAAGAAAGAACGGTTTAAAGCTATGAATGGAGCTGTTACAGTTTTGTATCACTGCAAAATGTCAATAAATGATAGAGCTTATCAAGAGATTAAAACTTGGGCAGATGTTACTTAAAACATATTTGTGATGTTTATCATACTCCAATGTTTGCTAAAACTAATGTTAAACAAAGCAAAGTTGATCATGTATAGATTGTTTTTCATGTACCTTTGCTTTCACTGGAATCATAAATTGATCAGATAATACATAGCCCACACTTCTAGACAGTTACAACAAAGGGTTTATTATCATTTGCAAATGAAACACTCACCACCTCATACTTGAAAGGCTTTAAAAAGCCTTAAGCAACTTCCAGACTGAACCAGGGGACCATCATTGCCAAGTTATATTATGCACCCATTTCTAGAAAAGAACACCTCCCTCGGTTCTGCACTATTTCTGGTTTATTATACACTTCCAAAAAAGAGCAAAAAATGGTAAATATTGTGGTCCATTTGTAGTAGTGCTTAGTCATCGTCTTCCTCTTCCTCCTCTTCTTCCTCAAAGCTATCCTCAAAGCCCTCACTGTCTTCCTGGTCTTCATCTCCCTCTATTGCTGTATCCCATTGTGGGTGATTTTCTGGCACAGGCTTGGCCTCATGAACTTCCAACTACAAGAAGTAAATATAACATCAGAAATTTGGAGAGCAATAATGGAAGAATTATCAAGTAAGGAAAAGATTTTCTTTTACCACAGCAATTATAAAAAAATAAATTTATGGCTGTAGCTCTAAACTTAACACATTCATTTTGAGTAGACATTCACCGCAGAATTAAAACAGTAAATCTAATAACATGTTAAGGTAATCAAAGTTCTAATACTGTTTTAGTTTTTGATCTGATAGAAGCTATACTACAAATACATTTCATGGCATGAAAGACGAATAATTTGAGCAAGAAGACCAAGTAATTCCCTAATAAATTTTCTGCTGAGAAGAAAAACTGTAGCGTGACTTCTGCAACTTCCAAACTCCTGGAGTAAAACTTTATAGCCAATGGAAAGAAGTACAGTACCCTCATGGGAAAAAAGAGGCAACCCTTCACTGTGTACCCCTCTACCCCCTTACTCTGGGACTCTAATACCCAATGCAAAATTACTTCAGTGCCACAGCTAACCTGGTTAACATGTAGAACGCTTTATTAAAAACTCAAGTGAAATAGTAAACACTGATGGGAGTCTATGAGTTTACTGACAGTGTCCGAGTGTATCACATATAAAATATGAAATCATCTCTTTTCCCCTCTATTAGCCTATGTTTCAAAACTAGAAATGCTTCCCTGGTATATTAAGCACTCATTCAATAGACAACAATATTTACTGAAAAGTAACTATTCTTACCTTCAGTGGTTTAATCTGATCCAAACCCATATAGGAGTCGGATCTCAGAAATACTGTATACTGATAATTTCCAGGCTTGCCTGGTGCAGGAAACTTCAATTCTACCTAGAAGATAAACCAACAATTTTTAAAAATCTGTATTTAAAGGGAAAGAAACAAAAGCTTGTCCCTAAAATTCCCAGATTAGCATTTTAATAGCTGGGTTACTCAGATAGCAATGAACACACACACGCACGCACACACTAGAGGAAATGAATTTACAGTTAATTTGTATTTCCATTTGTCGGAGACCAGCTCCAACCTTTGGGGTGTCTCGAGGCAGCACAGGCAGGACCCTAGATGGGAAGGCGTAGGCGAGCAGATATTCCAAAAGGGGAGACAGGAGCGGGTGTGAGGAAGACACGGGAGTCAGGATAGAGTGCAAGTCTTCCTGCTTTTCCTTCAGCAGGTCTTTCTTTATACTGTGTAGCAAGTAGTTAATTGTAATAATGCATAGGGTAAGTTAATGAGATATCTCCATAAAACATTCTCAAGGACAAGGG